AAAAAAAAAAAAAAAAAAAAAAAAATCACATGAAAATATTTTGTTTTCTGTAGCACAACATTTAACAAGTAAATGCTAACACAACACTTCCTAAATACACACTGAAAATGGTCAAACAAATTAGGCAGGTTGGCAAAAAAGCAAGCAAAAATACACACAGAAGGCAAAACAAATAGATATTTACAGCACATGGCAGAATGTTTCTTCTTGAGCTTTGATTTATTATACAGATCACACCGTGTTTATCCAGAAAATGTTTTAGAAAATGACTTCTGAACATAGAGCTAAACACAATAATTAAGGTTCAAAGAGCTCCAAGGACTCACTGCTCTATTCCAACCTGTAAATTCACACTCTGGGTGCAGGCTATAGTGTGCCTCTCACTTCCCAAATCAATCTTAAAAAGATCGGCCACACAGAGACCTGGCTAAGTGTCCGGCCGGAAACGGGGGACGAGCGCGCGCCCCCCCTACCTCCTTCCCACACCAGGCCACATACCCTCGGCAATGTGAGGGTGTCCCCGTACCGATGGGGACAAGGGTCTCGTCCCCACAACACTCACCCGGTGGTTGTGGGGGTCTGCGGGCAAGGGGGCTTATTTGCATCGGGATACCCCTTTAATTAAGGGGTCACCCAGATGCTGGCCCCCCTCCCTTGTGAATGAGTAAGGGGTACTTGTACCCCTACCCATTCACTAAAGGGTTAAATCAAAAAGTTGTTAAAAAGTCCAGACTTTTGATAAAATCCTTTATTTGAAAAAAAAGACATGTTTTTGACAAGTCTTTTATTTAACGACGACGGAAAAAAAAATTGAAAAAAAACCCAAAAACCACCAGCCCCCGTCCGCTCCACGCCGACTCCCGCCGCATAATGGCATTTTGACCGATGCCGGCAAAACATAAACAATTAGCAGTGACAGCTAGCTCCGCCCAATTGTGTAGTTTGTCGGCATCTGAGAAGCGAGACATAAATGGGCAGAGTCATCATGACTTTGCCCAATCATGGCTCCAAATGAGTACTGAGCCCGGATTGGGCAAAGTCTTGCACCTGACCTGTGGTCAGGTGCAAGTCTTTAACCAATTAGAGCTTCGGAGGGCTCTTTGCTGTATGGGACATCGAACAGACCGCGAATATCCCATAAAGTTCGGCATTCGGCGAACGCTCGAACAGCCGATGTTCGATTCGAACTCGTGTTCGAATTGAACCGGCGGACCAACCTTATACTGGACTGTTATCACTAAGTACATAAGACATTGGATTACATTTCCTTTTTGGATGTGGTATCGCCTTTGCTCCATATTTTTTACCCAAATTCTATATATAGCATTCCCACCGTAGAGATTTGGATGCGGTGAGTGGAGGAGATTAAGCTGTACATGGTACTTATGACAAATTTGTTGCTACCTAGATTCATTTTAGGGATTCCACTGAACACACTAATGCGTGTTTAGACTGACCTCTATGGACTGATGGCAGTTTTATCCCTCCCCTACCCTGTGGGGATGTCCTTTGCCCCTCGTGGTATGGGGTCTTGGGCCGTCCGGCGACAGGGCCTTGCTCTTTTGTTTCTCTTGGTCTCTCTTTTTAACATTTTTCTTTTTTCTTCCTGTTTTTTCCTTCTTTATACCTACTATCTTTAGATTGTGGGTTTGATACTTTCATTGCAGGTTGGAAAGGTTGTCCATTTGTTTTTATATGTTTACCTTTCTTGCATAAAATTGTAAAAACCTTCTAAAGGTGCCCACACACCTTGCGATAATCGTACGATAATCGCGGGAAATCCCGCGATCGTACGATTATCGCAAGGTGTGTGGAAGGCGTGCAACCATTTCTACTGTACGGTCGCACGATTTTAGTCTTTCGAGCATGTTCGAAAACCAGCCGCGAATCGTACGATTTTCGGCTAGTTTGTAGCATGATCATGAGATAGCTGCCACACGTGCCGGTGTGCGCAAGCGCACACTGCCCGTTCAGCATTGCGGTCATCGGAAGCCCGTCCCTCAGCAGGGCGGGCATGCGATCATCGCAAGTACGATCTGCCTGTCCAAGATGGGCAGATCGTACGTTTTTTTAATCACCTTACAACCATCGCAAGACAAATGTGTTGTGATGGTTGTAAGGTGTGTGGCTAGCTTAAGGCAAGGGGTGGGAATGTCCCAACAGGTTTTGGCATGGTTTGTGTTCTGATTATATGCTACATTTGCCATTGTGTTTAGGCTGATCTTCTTTAATTGTTATGTCCAGAGGGTATCTGTAAATGGCACCTTTTCAGACTGGGCTAGTGTAATGAGCGGTGTATACTGTATTTGGCATGTGGATGTCTGCCTGTTGACTTCTTGCCCTGCATTTTATTAGTAAATAAAGAATTAAATATATATATTTTTTGCTAATTTTTTTAAGCGGAGATACCCTTTATGGGCTCTGAAATAAAAAGTCGCTCTTTTCTGTTTATAATTATATCTAGAGTAAAAAAAGTAAAAAAAAACCTGATTGTCTTAACAAGCTAAAAAACACATAAAATGTTTAAATGAATGCTAAAGAAAGTAAGGATGACTAGATAGACCACTGGTCTGTCCCATAATTCTACCCTTTACAACTAAAGTCAATGACAATAGTAAGTTAGTAAAATTAGTAATCAGTAGAGCAAAGAATAGCACATCACACTTGCTGGGCCATTGACAGTGGAGACCTAGGAAGAAATCATGAAAAAACGCCTACCTATACAGAATATCGGACTGGTAACAACAAGCAATGCTTTTCACTGCATGACTTAAGCTGGCCATAGACCTTACAATTATCTGCAGATTTTCTGTGGTCAGATGGAAAAGGTGCAACAGATTCCTCCATCTACACTTAACTGTGTGAATGGAGTAATCTCCACCTGGTCCAATCTGTTGCACCTTTTCCATCTGACCTCAGAAAATCTGCAGATAATTGTAAGGTCTATGGGCACCTTTAGACTTTCTAGGAGGTGGGCCTTCCACAAGAATGCTAGTCAGTAGGAAAGCCCTGTATGAGGGAACTTAAAGTGAGATCCATTTTCTGTGCTGTTTAAATATTTAAGTATTTTTTAATTTGAATTTTAAGTGTGCGTGTGTGTATATGTATGTATAGGTGTGTGTGTGTATATATATATATATATATATATAGTGAGAGTGTTAGATCGGCAGCGGGTGTGTTTGACCCCCTGGATGGGTTCACACCACAGAAACAAGGCACAGCAAACGAGGCTTTCGTCTGGTGAAACACACGTGCAGTTTATTTACAACTATACCACTATGTAATTTGGTAACAAACATTGTCCTTAAGAACACTCAGAGGAGCTAAGGACATTAAGGGTCTGTTCACACCATATGAGTGCGTTCCGGCCGGAACGCACTGCATCGCGTCGCGACCGGCTCCCTTTTTTGCTGGGCAGGAGGGGGCGTGACGGGCCATTGAAGTGAATGGCGCTGTAGCCATGCCCTGCGGCCATAATGCGATTGCACGCATGGGATCGCAGGGCACATTGTGCCTGCGGTCCGGTGCTGTCAAAATAGTGCTCGCAGCTTTTTGAACGCACTGCACTGGACCGCAGGCACTATGCGGGCGATCACATTGCGGCCACAGGGCGTGGCTATGGTACCATTGACTTCAATGGCCTGCCACACCCCCTCCTGCCCAACAAAAAAGGGAGCCGGCCGCAATGCGATGGCCGGGGCACACTGCTTATGGTGTGAACAGACCCTAAAACTTTTCCAGGGACGAAACTGATTTTTAAGTTCCTTCCAGGTTTTCCGGACTATAGTGGGATGGAATCAGTGGCGGAACTACCAGGGCCGCAGAGGTCGCGGCCGCGACCGGGCCCTGGAGTTCCGCCACTTGGAGGGGGCCCAAGACAGGGAGAAGGGGCCCCTGGTGACCGCTGATTACCAGTCCCGGGACCTCTTCCTCCTGTCCTGGGCCCTACATGCTTCACGCTGCTCCCCTCACCTTGTTCCGGGCGCAGGGTGAAGCATCATCTAGCCGGGCAGCAGCCAATGAGTGGGAGCGGTGTAATCCCCGCCCCCTCATCACACAGAGCTGCTGCCCAGGGCCGAATAGAGCTGCTGTGGACACAAAGGGGGAGACAGGGAGCTGAAAGTATGAAGGAAGGTGACATGGGGTCCGGGAGCGGAAAGCTGGGGACATGAAAGAGGAGAGTGTTGTTTTTTTTTTTTCCCTGTCTAAATTTTGTTTTAAAAAAAAAATCTAATTTGTTTCTTCTTGGGGGGGCTTCATGGATTCTTGCATCGGGGCCCTGAGGTCACTAGTTACGCTA